CTCTCTCTCTCTCTCTCTCTCTCTCTCTCTCTCTCTCTCTCAAAGAAAGAAGTGGCTAACAGGTGCAGAACAGGGCAGGTGGCAAAATCAAAGCCTGCAGCCTCAGACAAGGAGCAAGCCGATGCAGAAGCCCTGGGAGGTGGGGATTCCCTTAGGTGCACCCAGCTTGACTCTGCAAATTCATACCCTGTGGCGCTCCTAGAAGCACATGCTTTAGCTGATAGCCAAGCTGAGAGCAATCTCAGAGGCGGAGCAGCACAGGCTACTCTGGGTGAATGGATGGCCACCAAAGGCCAGTCAGAGGTCAGCAAACCAGCATCAGCATGGGGCAGGTGGTGGCCACAGCAGCATACTTAAGTTACCCCATTTCCTCTTCCTGAAAGAAAACAAGTATTCCTGGACCAGCACATCCCAGAAGGCTCTCTACCAGGACTCTATTGCTGGAAAAAAGGAAGGTCATCCTTTAAGCACATGAACTTGTCACACATGAATATTTAGAACCTTGCCCAAAGGACTGTGTATGGGCTGGAGAGATGGCTCAGTGGGTAAGAGTACAGGTTGCTCTTGAAGAAGACCTGGGTTCAGTTCCCAGCACCCACATGGCAGCTGATGACCATCTTTAACTCCAGTTCCAGGGATCTTTTGTCCTCTTCTGGTCTCTGCAAGCACTGAACACATGTACTGAACTTACATACATGCAGATAAAACAGGCATATGTGTAAAATTCTTTTAAATGCAAAACAGATTTTACCGAAGGACAGTGTGAGTGGAGATGGTGGAACGGTGAGCCAGCTGTGGAGGTCTGGCTGAGCGTGGGGAAGGGGTGTGAGGGCACGCTCTATCCACTGCATGTTGAGGCTCTCCCACAGCCTTCTCTCTGCCCTGCTAGGCTAGCTCATCTTTAAGATTTTCACCACATATATGTACTTTTTCATTCAAGATCCACTCAAAGATAGGGAAATTTCACGAAGTGCCACGGTAAGAGACAAAGGCAGTCAGGTGCTCCGACAGGCTGCCCGTAAGGGTGATACATACAAATCAGAGCTGCCATCCCTAGGAGAGGCTACGTGTCCGCACAGCTCTACTGCAGCAAGGAAAAAAGAGTGGGACAAAAGTGAGCAAAGGCCACAAGAGCGTTTGTCACTGCTGTAGCTGAGGCACTGGCCTCGCTTCCTGTTGTTTGTTTTGTTTTTTTGGCCTGTTAGGAGTTCCTGGTGCCATTTCAGATCTATTATAAGGTCAAATGAGAGACACGCCTATGTAGGCAGTACAGCACACACACAAGGCGTGACCTAAAGATCTGCTCATGCATTTCAAAAAAGGAGGCGATAAGGCCAGATGGCCTCACAAATGTAGCCTGATGGCGGAGGATTACCAAGAACTATAAAGAGCTTTTTAAAATGACTGTGTGTGTGTGTGTGTGTATGTGTGTGTGTGTGTGTGTGTGTGTACACGTGCGCACACTACATGAGTGCAGTACCCATGGACACCAGAAGAGGACGTCAGGAGCTGGGGTTACAGGCAGCTGTGAGCTGCTTGACCTGAGTGCTGGGAAGAGTGCTCTCTGCAAGGGCAGCAAGCACTCTTAACCACTGAGCCATCACTCCAGCTTTTAAGATGTAGAAATACTTGTACGTAGGTGAAGAAATTGGAACTCAATTGAAAAAAGCAAAGAAGAAAAAAAAACAAGAAAGGAAAGAAAAGAAATACCTCATGCACCACAGTGGGCAGCTCTGGTGATGAGAGGTCATGGACCTCTCCCCTGCTGTGCAGTGAGTGTTCTGCAAACTTTCCAGAAAACAGCTCTATGTTGGTAAGCAGAAAAAGGTGGGGGGGGGGCACAGATTAGCAGCTCTCTCCACTCACCCCACTTCCTTTTCCATAATCTTCAAGTGGGCACCAATTTGCATCCTTAACTACTTTCCAGCAGAATATATTAGATATCTTCAAAGAGTTCTGCAGACAACCCAGCAGATTATGGGCACTGCATGGCTGGGACAGGGAGGAGGACCTTTGCTCCAGGGAGGACTCAGGGCCCCTCACACTTCCACGATGGG